TCAGCATTATCCTCATCTTCAGAGCAGATTTTTTTTTTTTTAAATTCGGCTTATAATTCCTTACTAAGTGTAGTATTTCATCTCTGTGTACTTCGTCTTTGATATGATTTAAATCAATTTCCTCAGCATTATAAATATTATGAATACACATCAAATAGTTTTCTGGTTGCAATTTTTTAATTTCGACTATGCGTAATGTATGCTTTACTCATGCGCACGTTGAAAGAAATGTTTAATAAAGTAAACAAATAAATATTAAGCTTTTTTTTTTTTTTTTTGGAAATTTTTGATACCCTTTAGATCATAATTGCTCTTTATTTCATAAATTATGGTTTCATATTTTTAATTGTATAATTTCTGCATGCCATCTTCCAGATTTAAATTGATGATTTATAATTCGGAAAACCCCCTAATCCGGAATCGCCAAAGTCCCGACAAGTCCGGATTACAGACTTTGTACTGTATTTTATTTTATAATTTCTTGGGGAGGGGAGGGGAAAACTGGTAAAGAAAATATTTATAACAGTGCCCAATACGAAAATTTCATCCTATAAAGAAATGGAAGCTTTAAATTGGAAAAGACCAATGCAAAATTTAAAACTAGGCAAGAATGCTTTGGTGGAGATTTTGAATAAAATTCTGTTGATTCTTAGGAGGATCAGACACTGTTCCCTCTCCTTCAAGAGTGAAGGGTTCACTTCAAAAGTAAGAATAACTTCTAAATGTTTCTTCTTTTTTGCACTTCTAAATGGAAGCTTCCCTTAGAAAGTTCCATATCCACACTTTTTCAATGCTTTATGAAAAATGCAAATTCAAATTCCACTGCTAGGAATGGTTTATGATCATCTTGAAAGTTAAAAGTCACTAATGTTCTAATAGCAATATATATATATTTGTAAGATATAACAAAATCCGATAACCGCTTTAAAAATAATTGGCGACCTCAAAATTAACATTCTAGATTTGGTGAACTCCACCTAAATTCCTCTGTTCTTCTAAATTTCTATGTTATGTAAAGCTATTGGAAAAGGGCAACTAAAACTAATATTAACCAATCATAGCTTGCCTCTACAATTGCATCATACTTAGTATAAATATCTCTGGCGAGCTAATTACGTCATTATTCTGCTAGCTTCTACCTTGCTAATATCTCCTCGCTTCGCTTCTGCAAAATGCCTGCATCTTAATTTTAAGAAACCAAAGTACATAGCAATTAGATAATTATTTTTAAAGCAGCTATCAGATTTTATTATAAACTTCAGCTCTCTGTCCTAAAAATAGCACTATAAATCTAAACTGCGCCAAAAAATGTAATGACAACACAATATATTTGAATAGTCGATGATATCTTTTAGAATGATGAATTTACAGATAGGAATAAATGTTCCATTGAGTTAGTAGCATAGCCCAATCCAGTATGACTAATAAATGTAATATTAACACAAGTTGGGAAGCATTGAATGTAAGCACACTACAACGAAGATACGCAGAAATGCTGATGGCATAAATACTTGATGCTTAGAGCATCCATCCATTTTGAAGAAATTAAGCCGGATTAAATTCCGTTATTTATTTAAATTCACAATGGTGGCCATAATTCACTTGTCACTCTATTCGTGTCTATTAAAGAACACTTACAATTTTGATACTATGGCGATAAAAGCATGACTGCAGCAACATCTAATCTGGCTCGATTGTTTCTCCTTCAAAATGGATGGACGCTCTAAGCATCAAGTATTTATGCCATCAGCATTTCAGCGTATCTACATTGTAGTGTTCTAACATTCAGTTCTTCCAAAATTGTGTTAATATTACATTTATTAATCATACAGGATTGGACTATGCTACTAACTTCAATGGAACATTTATTCCTCAGTTGGATTTCTGTAAAATAGTATCTGCAAATTCATCATTCTAAAAGATATCGACTATTCAAATATGTTGTGTTGTTAATGAAAACAAGAAAAAGACGGAGCAGTGTTATGGTGTAATACCTAGATAGGGCAGATTGCAGATCCATATTGAAAAGGAAGAAATTTGATCGCATACCATGCTAATAGGCTGAGTTCGTAATATCTAAGAAACTTGGCTGTCGAGGTGGTTTTTAATTTCATTTTTATTCCAGTTGACGTTTGTGGCCACAATCACTTGGCACTCATGCCTATTTAAGAACATTTACATTTTCGATATTTTTGTGATAGGAAGCGAGCACAGCAAAATTACGTCCAAGCAGCACACAGAGAGAAGCTAAAGTGAAAAAGTGAAGCATTAATTCAGAGAAAGAAGGGAGGGAATCCAAAGTTCCAGTTTTTAAGTTTTGGTTTACAGTTTGGTAACTGGTCAAGAGGCATCAGCATTAAGCATTATATAATATCGCATAATTAATTTGAATGATGCAGTTTAGACTTGTAGAGCTGTTTTTAAGACAGAGAGATGAAGTTCCCAAATTAAATAAAAAATAAAAGAGGTTATACCCAATTAAATTTAGAGATCACATTTCATAGAGAGAGAGACAAGTAATCATATAATTAAATTTATTATAAAAATATTTGCTGTTTACTTGAAATACATACATACCACAATGAATGCCTAGGAAAAAGACATATGTAAATCTGAATTTATAGACTGCACAACAGAAAGAAAATGAATGCACAAAAGAACAGGAACTTGCCTCATGTTATAAACTGCTGCTTAACCAAAGCATAAAACTTCACATGAAGAAAATATGAAGGATAATTAGTTTACAAAAAATCATCTTTTGCAATCATGTCTATTATGCAGTGAAATTATGTCAATATACCTTACAAATAAATATGGAAAGAGAAGCTCTCATTAATGTGAAACTATTCAGTTCAGGCACGAAAGATACTTTATATATATATAGAGAGAGAGAGAGAAGAAACTGTAAATATCACAGTAGGTTAATACTTGTATTGGGTTGGCAATTAAGTAATTACGGATTTCACTCATAGATGGCTTCAGTTGAATTTTTAGGGTTGCAGACGTAGTACAAATGTAAAACACATTTTGTTATTTGATAGTTGGCAATTCAGCTGTCAATCAGTAAAAAAAGTTTTTTGATCGGTTGCGTAGTTTTTGTTTGGCGTTCGTTGAAAAATGGAAAATCAAAAGGAACATTTTCGTCATATTTTGCTTTTTTATTTCCGTAAAGGGAAAAACGCATCGCAAACTCATAAAAAGTTATGTGCTGTTTATGGTGACGAAGCCTTAAAAGAAAGGCAGTGTCAAAATTGGTTTGCCAAATTTCGTTCTGGTGATTTTTCACTCAAAGATGAAAAACGCTCTGGTCGTACAGTTGAAGTTGATGATGACCTAATCAAAGCAATAATTCGATTCGGATCGTCACAGTACAACACCTGAGAGTGCAGAGAAGCTTCATGTATCACATACATGCATTGAAAATCAGTTAAAACTACTTGGCTCTGTTCAAAAACTCGATACATGGGTTCCTCACGAACAGAAAAAAACGCATTTAACGCAACGCATTAACAGCTGCCATTTGCGTAATGAAAATGATCCCTAAAGAAAGAACTAAAGAAACGTAATGAAAATGATCCATTTTTAAAACGACTGAATAATTTGCGATGAAAAATGGGTTGTTTACAACAATATCAAGCGGAAAAGATCGTGGAGCAGGCCTAGGTGAATCAACTCAAACAACATCAAAAGCTGATATTCATCAAAAGAAGGTTTTATTATCAGTTTGTTGGGATTACAAAGGAATTGTCTACTTTGATCTCTTACCACCCAACCGAATGATCAATTCTGTGAACAACTAACGAAATTAAACAATGCAGTTGAAGAAAAGTGGCTCGAATTGACAAATCGGAAAGGTATTGTATTCTACCATGACAATACAAGGTCGCACACATCTTTGGTCATTAGGCAAAAAATATTGGAGCTTGGTTGGGATGTTTTGCCACATCCACCATATAGTCCTTACCTTGCACCATCTGATTACTTTTGTTTCGATCTTTTACAAAACTCCTTGAAGGTAAAATTTCAATAATGATGTATGTCAATCGTACCTGATATCAGTTTTGCTAATAAAAAACAGAAGTTTTTATGAACGTGGGATTAGATGCTGCCTTAAGAGGGCAAAAGTCTGATCAAAATGGGCAATACATTACTATAAAGTTATTTTTCCTTAAAATTGTCTTTGTTTTCTAAAAAAAAATCCGTAATTACTTATTGCAACCCATAGATAGGAAAAAAAAAAGAAAAAAAAAAATGCATGATAAGACAGCGATAAAAAAAATTAATTCAAGATAAATTGATGAAACCCAATAAATTACTCTTTTGAAATTTTATACATTTAGAAATGAAAATGGCAATTCAACGGGGAAAAACTAAATGCCTGAAAAATACCTTTAAATGCTACTTAAGATAATGGTAAAAATAAATGAACAATTGAGAATTAAACTGAAATTCTATATGAATTTGTAGGACACACTCACAAAAGGCTACAAAAAGGGTAATTAAAACAGGCTAATTTATTTCATATATTTTGACCAAGCTTAACATAATTTTTAAAGTCTAGCTTATATTCAGAATATAAAAAATTCAAGTAACATTAATTCCTCCCCCCTCCCTAAATTTTTTTAATACACATTACAGTTTTTAAAAATTCAGGTTACAGAAAATAAGTTTTCTCTGTTCTAAATAAGACTAAGTTCTACTGATATCCTGCAAAATAAATTTGCATATTAGACTGAGATTTCAGACCTATGATTTAAGTAAACTATATGTGTTGAATCTAATGAAATAAAAGCTAGCATTTATAAAACATTTTTTACATGACTGCATTTCAAACTATTAAAAAATATCAACTTGAAATTTTCATTTTTCATCTCATGGATTAAATATTTTCTCAGTATTTATAACTTTAGGCATTTTAAAAGAGCATATTAGGGGTGAAAATGCAGATTATGTAACAAAATTTTCTCAAAAAACTAGAATTTCATCAGCTATAAATATACCTTTGAACTAGGAGCTCTAAGAACATCTCCAATACCACCACCATTTCTTAAACCTTGATTCAAAGTAGTAACAATGCACATTAACAAAGAATCACAAGCTCGTTCAACTGTTTTATCATCATCATCAACATCATCATTGCCATTAACCGCTGGTTCTGCAGCTTGAGCTAATAGCTTCCCTTCTGCAAAAGAATCAAACGTATGACTTATGTATGAATTTTATCATTCATAAAAGAATACATAAATCAAAATTAATGACTGAAATTTGTGAAACTCTGATTAATATATTTGGAAAAGAAGAGCATGTCAGCTAGAACTAGGTCAGGTTAGTACAACAATAATTACACATGAATTTTATTTTGCAGAAGCACTTTTAATGACTAAATATTATCACTCTCTTTAAGTACAACTACTGAGTTGTTCAAAAAGTAATTTCTTTTTTTAAATGGAAATTTTGTTCTTAATAATATATAAATATTTTTATTGAATAATATTTTGACTATTTTTGCCCAATACCTTTTTTCTTTTTAGCAGTAGCATGATTCCATGCTCATAAAAGTTCTGATCTTTACCTTTAAAAAACTGATGGAAGTGACTTTTGTGATCTCATATGAAGTAAATGTTTTATTATTTAAACAATTTTGTAAAGACCAGAACAAGTAATTATTTGAGGATGCCAGATATTGCGACCATGATAGGTGTGGTAGTACATATCATCTAAGTTCTAACAGCTTCTGATAAGTTACCAGACTTATTTGAGACATAACAATATCACAGTGAAATACTACAATTTTTATGTTGGTCTATTCTGGCTTTTTCTGCTTGACAGTATCATTCAGTTTGTCCAGTTGATATCAATGCACTTCCAAATCCACTGTAGAATTGTCTGGTAGGAGCTTAAATACAGTTTTCTAAAAATTATTCCAAACAGGCAGCATCATTTTTCTCTTTTAATGAACATCAGCTTTTGAAGTGCTCTGAGCCAACTCATCCCTTCTGCTGCATGATTGCTTAAATTTGACATTGATGTAAACCACGGATGGACAAACTTTTTCAATTGTGGGCCAAAAATTGGGGGGGGGGAAGGAAAAATGTTTGGTGGGCCAAGACAAATTTTTCTTAAATTTTAAAAACAATATACAAGTAATACAATTTAAATATGTTAATGAGATGAATGAAATTGGGATTTCATTTTAAAAAGTTCCTTATATTGAGGTTCAAAGTGAGATGTACCGATTCTAAGGAACGAGGTTAAATGCTCATCTGTCAGTGGACTTCTGAAATAATTCTTTCTAAGGTTCATAGTTGAAAACACTAGTCCATATATAAAATGAAGCAAACACAGCACTGATTTTCTGGGCGTGAGATACTAAATTTAGGAAACTTACTTTAATGTTTGTAAAACTCTAACTTTGTAAATTTGTACTATAATGTTTTGTAAAACTCTAACATATTTAGAAACAACTGCATGATTGTTAGATTGCAACTCAATTAATTCAAGCTGCAAATCTGACTTCACTGCTTTACAATTTACACTGAAACGCATGGTAAAAAATATCCAATTCTGTTTAAATGCCAATGAAATCTTGAAATCTGCATTCGAATTCAAAATGCAGTTTTTTTCAAGCTATCTTCATAATTCTTAAGCTTTTCTTCATTTACTGAGGGTACTGAACTTAACCTCGGGAAATGAGACAAATTGTTCTTAGCTAGCTTCCCAGCAAACATATTAAGTTTTAGTTTAAAAGCTTTGAGATAAGCCCATATATCGTCAATAAATTGATTTTCCCTTTCATCTTGACATTTAAATTGCTCATATGACAAAGAAGATCTGTGAAAAATGCAAAGTCCGAAAGAAATTCTGTATCTTGTAACATTTCGCCCTCCGCAGAACACTGTTTCTTATGGAAGAATGATACAATGTTGTCTTTCAGCTGCCAAACTTGCTCGAAAACACATCCTGCCACCTTACTTTCATGTAATACAGTACATCAGAGTATTCAGATTGCGTGGACTGAAGAAAATCTGGAAATTGAAAAAGCCCACAAGAACGAATAGTATTTACAAGCTTCATGACTGCATCAAGCATGGTTTCATAGTCAATGCAGGTGTACACAGAGCATTTTGATGTATAACACAATGTAGAAAAACAACACTGTTCCCGAGATAGTTTTGATTAGAGTCCTAGAAATCCAGATTTTTTTTCCTGTCATATTTAGTGCTTCATCGGTCATAATATTACATATATTTGTTATAGGAATTTTCAAAGTTAAAAGCCCTTCCTGAAATTCACAAAAAATAGTTCCCTTTAAAGAATACATGCACGCCACCTCCTCGGCAATTTCAAGGTTCTCATCAACACCTCTTATAAATAATACTAATTGTACAGTATCAGTAGAGTTATATCAGTGCTTTCATCCACAGCTATGGAGAAAAATTTAAACTGGCCAATCATTGACTCTAATTGTGATGTCAAATTTTTATTGATGTCTTCTATTCTAGAAGTCACCGTTTTTCGAGATACGCTTACAGTCTCAAAATTATTTTTCCTACCTGGACATAAAACATCACAAACTTGGAGCATGCATTCTTTAACGAACTCCTCATCGTGACAGCTTTCTTATTTTTAGCAATACTGTATGCTACAATGTAACTTGTAGTATGTGTAGCTGCTTCTCGGATACTGTTTACCTTCTTGAAAAAATTATGTCGGCCTGATGATTTTTTATGAAAACTTTATGCATTTTGTTTTCTTTCATATTCGGACATTGCTTCATAATTGGAATTCTTATACTGAGATGTGAAATGATGGGAAATGTTAGATTCTTTGAAAACTGCTACAAGTTCACTGCAGATGAGACACACTGGTTCATCTTCTAATTCACCTATATTGCATTCCCATATGTCTGCTCCCCGAGAAAGATATAACGCTTGTTAGCGCCAATCTACAGCTACCTACAGCGCCAATCTACAGCTATAGCCAACAAAGAACTTCTGCTTTTAACACTTTACTGATTGAAAGCTGTCTGTGCTTGCTATTTCTGTCAATTAATGTTTTGTAGAACAAAAATAGAGAAAGTAAAAAGATTATCAGTCCTTCAAAAAAGGGAAGAAAAAAATAATATTTAAACAAAGTAGAAAAGGAGATGGATATATAAGATATAAATATATATTTCTTTTAATTTGCCTCAAACTGGCAAATTAAAATTTTATCCGCGGGCCGGATAGAATGTTTGACAAGTGAGTCGCAGACAGCAATGTGATGCGACAAATTTATTTCTTTAAAAAAAATAAGGAACCCATATATTGAAAGAATCATTTCATGTGATCATAAATGGCCCATATGCTATCTCTCGATGATTTCTAATGTTGTTGTTTGACAGTTTACTTTTATTTTTATTTTGTCAACTTCCAGAACATAATACATCTTCAGTAGTGAAAACTGCTGGATTTAAATATTGCAGACCACTTTTGGCACGAGTATTCTGTCAAGTCATCTCCTTCAAACACGTCACATTTTTCTTATTACCTGAACAGGATTCTTCTATTTTCGGACTATTTTCAGTAGAATATCCTGACAATGCTACTTATCAGTTTCTATTTTTAATAGGTATTTTTTGGTGGAGGAAGGGGGCTCAGAAACAATCAAGAAAAAAAGTTTTTAAAAAAAATTATGCTCATCTCTATAAAAAATATTCACGAGACAATACACTATGTCACTGACATAGGCAACCCATTACGTTGCCAAAATGTATTTTATGCGGCAACCTAGGTATGCACACATGAGCAGCAAACAAGCATGGATTTCCATTTTAATTAGACAGTTTTTTTTATTAATGTTTGTTCCTGTACTGGCTATATTTTTCTTCTTCTAAGAAACTGAAATGGACTGTGAAGTTTGCCAGCAGATGAAAAGAAAGTGTTGCCCCCTTTTTTTTTCTTTTTCTTCAGAAATACGGTATTTTGTCCAATAACAAAGAATGCAAAAATTCTTATTTCAGAAGTTGTGCTTCTTAACTGATCAATTTTTATGGACTGGAATTCGCTTGCGATACCCAATTTGCGAAATTCTTCGATTTTTTTTCAAGGGAAAACAAATTGCTGTGTACATGGGGAGAAAACAATGAAATAAAAAAATACATATGGATTTCTTGAAAAAAGTAAAGAGTTTTATTACAGATTTCTTTTATTTCCATAATTTTATCGATTCATTGCTCTTTCGTGGAATACTTGGTGGACTGTTATTTTCAAAATGACTGTTGCCTTTTGCATACTACCTTGGCAAAAAAACAAGTTATTAGTATATTTGTTGATCTTTTGGAATGTGGTGCAGATAATCAGAAAGCACTCAATATTTTTTTACAAATAAACCTTCAAATATCAGTTGTCAAAATAAATAATGACAATATAGCTGAGAATGAAGAAGGCTGGTTAAAAAACTAGTACCTCCAATGGCGAAAAAATTAAATTACTATCAGAGCAATACAATAAATGAAAGGCGAGTCCTACAAGCAAAAAGAAACTTCATGAATTACCTAATTTATTTTGAACATGATAACTAAACATGATTCATTTTATGATATTATTCTATAAATAATAAGCAAAAGAATAAGTTAGGAAGAGAAAGCCTTGACAATGCTGCACTTTGGCCCACCAGCGGCCAAGCGGTAAAAGCCACTGAACACTGGTAGTTCGGTCTGGGGTTTGAATCCCGGAGAACAGGCTGGCTGCATGGGCATTTTCGTAGTTTTCCCCATGTGTAATGTGGATACAAGCCAGTTTCCCTTAAAAAGACCTCCCTCTCCGTGTAGTGACTAAGGGCGGAGCACGTAATAAATAAAAAATGCTGCACTTTATTTAAACAAATAATAATCTATAATGCATGCTAGTTTCACTGACTGTCTTCTGGCCTTTGCTACTGTTTTATGTTTAAAGATTGCAAACACTTTAGGAACTAGGTTTACAGTATTTAATATATTGCTAATGTTGTACATATTTAACTTTATTCCAAGAATTCTACAAGAAGCAGTGACTGAGATAGTTTAAACTCTTAGTTATAACTACCAGTTTCACAGTGACTCAACTTTCCAGATTTTTTCCAACTCAGATTTTACTCTCATTAGTACTAAAATTAAAATGGCAAGAATAATAAATCCCCTGATAACACAAGAAAGTTAAATAAGGGTAAATTAGGTTTAATTTAACAATTTAATTTAGGCTTGCAACTTGAAGAACAACTGATGCACATAAAATTTTTTATTGATTTTATAAAAAAAATTCACTGTAATCAATTTTTTAGTAAGCAGCTTCTTTGTTTAATCTATAAGTATAACATAGTACACTTAATTTTTTATCAAATTCTATCAAAAATTAAAATAAAATATTAGGTAATTTCATATTTTACAGCCTACAGAAATTAGTTTTAAGAAAAATAACATGTTCTTCTATTTCTGTTATCTGATTAAAGAATTTTCAGTATTTTCAACTTTAATTATAAGAACATTAATACATATTTTAATTACATTTCATTGGGTAATTACACAAATTAGTCAAGATTACTAACCACTTGCATTGTCAGATGCATTTTTCTCTGGGATGGAATCATAAATATTTTCATTTCGAAAAGGACAACTTGAATCTTTCGCAGAACAGTAATTGTCTTGAGACATTGGCACTTGAAAAGGCTGAGGTGATGTACTACGAGAATTTTCTTCTACTCCTATAGCACCTGAAGAAAATGTATAAAAAGAATACCAAGCAATTTATTAATTTTTAAGCATACATCAGTTTCATTGTTCAGAATTTTAGCATATCAGAGATAAACAAACACAGAACTATCAAATTTGAAATACATGTTTTCTGGCCAATGAAGGTGTGCCCTTAAAGTATCCTTTCTTGTTCTCAAAATTTTAATTAGATTTTTTTTAAATTTCAATTTTTAAAATGCAGCTTTGTTGATTTATTCCCCCCCCCCCAAAAAAAAAAAAAACTCCAAATTCTGCAATTTATTTTTGCATCACTGAGTGGAATGAAAATAAAATCTATTATATGAAGTCATTATTGAATTTTTAATGTAATTAATTTTTGACAATTTTTAAAAAATTTAAAAAATTAAGTCTTTCAATTCAGATTCATTATTTTAAAGTTCCGATATTAAAAAAATTATCTGTTAAAAAATTTTTAAAGGTTATAAAACAAAAATGATAAAAATATTAATAGGTAAATTTTCTAAAAATTTTTTGTTTATAGATTGCAGTATGATAAGGAAGTTTCCATTTTTTGGGCATCATGTCATTTCCATTGGAAACATGGTTTCAAGAATATGACATTATTACATTTTCCCACCATTCTTTGTTGAACGCCAGATATGTGACCTGATATCCCAGCAGTGTTATAATAAAATTGTAATCTACAGTTTGTTAATGAAATTTGATTGGAATTTAATTATTCTAAAATTTTATTTTCAATTGAGGCTGCATCTTTAGCATGAATTTCAATAAATCCCACGACGATTCATTGATAGAAACTTTCTGCTGGTAAAATTGATAGAAACTTTCTGCTGGTACCTACATACCTAAAGACTTGCTACATTTGATCTCGATGACCAATATCAGGAGTTGAATCAAATAAGTCCATAATATTTATTTCTTGTGCTGTCACAGATTAGTTGATTATTATAGTTTAGTGGCCGAATTAGTAATAGTTCAAGGTCAAAGAGTTTATAATATAATAAGACTAAAGTATATTTGTTATCATTTTAAAATAACAAACGTGAGCTGTATGTGTATTTCGCTTTAAAAAAAAATTCACTATTTTAGAAAAATAAAATGTTCAGAAAGAAAGAAGAAAGAACGTTTTGCATACGGAGATATTTGATTGATTTACAGCAAACATTACTAATAATATATTTTATAAGACAAATCAAGAAAGGACATAACTATATTACAATAATTATTAATTAAAAATTTATTTCTCATAAATCAATCAAAATGGAAACTGAAATTTTCTGGAAAATCTTGTTTGTCTTGGGAACCATCTGGCACCTTTCTGTGAACGGCACCCAGGGCATGATAGACCCCTTTGCCTCCTTCTCGCTATACCAGATATCAGAAATGAATTAACAATAAATTCCAGAAAATTCATATAAAACTTTGCAAAATCTATATTTATTATTTGTATCAAGCCAAAGAAATGATTTAATTTTAATGAAATTTTACATATCCTACAATTATGAAATTACTGAAATCCTAAATAAAGTACAGATTTACCTTTTGTGAAAAACTAAATCACATTTTGAATTCTGTACATATAAAGTTAAATATTATATCATTTTCTAAGATTGATTTTTTTTATGTTCATTTTTTGATATATATGAACATACAAGCTAAAAACAATTTAACTTTGAAACTTTAAGAACCATGCAAATAAAGGGTTTGAGCACTTAAAAAGTAAAATTTATTATTACCATTACTGCTTTAAAAAACATTAATTTTTTTTAAATAATACACCCTGCAACAACAACAACAACAACAACAAAAAAAAAAAAAAAAAAAAAAAAAAAAAACTATGCATTCAGAAGAAATTGAGCCACAATCACGAAACTCAGCAGAAATGTAGTTTCGTAAGAGACATGCATATGATTAAAATTTTGATGCCAATGAGACAAGGGTAAGCACCATAAGGGTATATGAGATGCGCAGTTAAGAGAGTTTAAAAGCAAGATTGCTTGTGCGGTAGGGCTATTCAAACGAATGTGTTGGATGAAGAGTACTGTGACTAGGAATGCCTCTGAGACTTAACTGGTGGCAGAAAAAACAGTTGTCAGACTTTGAAAAAGGATGCATAGTAGGCCTCAGAGAAGCAGATTTGTTGAACAGGCGAATTGGCCACCACCTCAGTCGGAGTGATATGGTAGTTGCTGGATGTTGGTGACAATGGATCATGGAATATAGTCTACCATCGCGGAGGGTCAGGGCATCCCAGGAACACAAATGACAGCGATGATCAACCAATCATAAGAGTGGCTATTTCTGCACCAACAACCTCGCTAGCATAGATTTGATGCCATTTACCATTTTCCAGTCATGCGGTGGTATCGAGAGGAACCATTCAGACATGACTGGCTGATGCAGCCAACATTCATCAAGAAGCCTATCACTGACCCCATGCTATAGGTAGTGTCAATTGGTTTTTGCTTAACTCGGGCAAGCTGGACTGCAACCGACTGGAGGTCGGCGATCTTCAGGGATGACTCCCGATTCGGTTTCAGTGCTGATGACTAAAGCCCATGTGTGTGAAGGCGGTCAGGCCAGCAGTCCGATCTAGCATTCGTTGTCGAGAGGCATACGGTGATTACACAAGGTGTGACAGTGTGGGGAGTGATTTCTTGGGAGACACGATCGCCTCTAGCCATCCTTCAAGCCAACTTTGACGGCTTGCAGTTATGTGGACAATATTTTAATGCTGGTTGTACTAGCTATGCTATCAAGCCATCCAAGTGCCATTTATCAGCAAGACGACGCTCGTCCACATACCATGTGACTCTCCCAACCATGTCTTCAAGGATATGGCTTATTCCAGTGGCCTGCCAGATCACCAGACCTCTTGCTAATACAGCACGTTTGGGACATGCTCGGAAGGCAACCCTAACCTCCCTATATGAAGCTTCTTCATTATGTCTCATGTCTGGGCAACACTAAGTACTTACACATATCTCTCATAAAAAGGAAGTGATATATGGAAAACTTTTGGTATATATATATACATATATATATCAAAAACAGAGTTCACTCCTTTGTACAGTTAATGCTAACACAGTGAATGCTGCTGTGATGCAAAATTAAGGACATTTGGGTTATTATAAATTTTTAAACTTACTTATTCTTATAAAGAAAAAAATAGGGGAAAAAAACAAAACAGGTTTTAGCAAATGGTTTTTGGTAACATTTATACGTTAGCTCTGGAAAATAACATTTTCAAAGGGATTATGAGGAAAAAGTTTTCCTCTCATTAAAATGAACTCTGAGATGAAGTATCATGTTGAAGATTTTTGCTGAATGCTTACACACTGCAGAAAGTAACTGATTATTGAAAAGTTTCCCTTTTCTATTTTTTTCAAACTTTAAAGTTTAATGTTTACTCAAGTACAAGAATAAAAGCTAGTTTCAGAATTCAGTTAATACATTTACTATTTTAATGAGAAGTCACACAAGCCCCTGTTTTTAGCAGTGAAATTGATTCACTCTCTCCATATTCACTAATTGTTTAAAGGTAATGCAAACATAAACACTATTTTTTTTCTTTCTTATAAAGACCTATGTTATTTGAAAAATTGAATTATGAAAAATAGTTTCTTGTGCCTGATTAGCTTTCTGACTTTTTTTTTTTTTGACATACCCTTAGCTAAACTGTAGCTGTATGCAATTATTCTCTGCAATTCATGTGTGTTTACGAAATTAAAAAAATTAAATGGAAATCTGAAAGAGCACCTCAAACATATACTAAAAGCAGCTCTGAGATTTCTCTAGCTGAAAGTCTTTTTAATTAGTAAAAATATTTTTTTTCCAACTACATTACACCACATTGAAATTGTGCAAAAAACATAAAGATCATACGAAAAAGAATGCCTCAAATATGAGATGAAATATGGCTTTGAACATGTCCCAAAATTTTAATAATAATAATTTTAAAAAGTTCAGATTTTGTATAAATACCTGGCAGGTTTGTTTCAGTTCTCACATCAACTTCCATTAGGAAATCATCTCGAAAGAATAAATATCCAATAATAGAAAATAGATATACTAAAATTAGTGCTAAAACAGCAGTTAGTATGATAGAACGTCCATTTCTAGTAACTGACTTGATGACATTTTTCAAAGTTTCTTCTTGATATACTACATCTAAGAGCTAAAAGAGGAACCAAAATAAAATTAATACCATAAAATATTTTATATATAAAATTTTAAGGATTTCCAAGGTTTTATTTGCATAGCAGATTAACTAATCAAAATAATAAATTCATTTTTATGAGTCACATTATGCTGTTAAATAGAATTACGATTATCAATTTGTAATTGCAGTAGGCACTGCTTATAGTGATCATGTTTGTAAAATGATTATTTTGATAACAGTTACAGACAATTTTATAACTATTTTGATTAATAGAAAATGACTATTTTGATAACATAAGTGATGAGAAAAATATTTTTTAAAATACCAACAAAATTTAACAAATTTAATGTAACTAGAAACCTACAAATGCTTAGTTTCACAGCATTTTAATTAGAAAAAGCCAATAACATTTCATTGTCTGGAATTCTTATGCAAAAGTTCAGTTTTTGATCTGTTCATAATGTATCTGAAAATTATTTCAGTGATGCTGTATTCATAATCTTAATACTCATATAGCAACCCTTATCTCGGGATTTGTAAGAAATTCACTAACTTCATCATTACCTTCTTTAGAAAGCTTAACACATGACATGCTTGAATTTTTTTCAAAAAGTGATATATTTCAAAAATGATATATAAAGTAATAGGCAGATATCTTCTTCTGTCACTGAATCTACAATGTGAGGTTTTTATTAATATTCATCTAAGCATTAAATTCTTCAAAATTCATGTTCGCTGAAGACGTTTTTTATTCTTCACCTTGTATTTTATCATTTATTAAAAGGCTGTCATGTTTAAAACAGTTCTTGATTGTCTTTTCTAAGTCATAGCTGCAACATTTTAATATCAATATAATCTTAATATCTTAAATCAATATCAAGTCACTTGGCAACTTAAGGCAATACAGCTCTGCCATTTGGTGATCTCTTTATTCTATTTCAACCTAATCTGGTGACATAACTTCAGTTTAAAAAATACATTCTATAATATTTTGATAACTTAACTGACTTGTTGATCACAATAAATGATGTATTTTCCATGATGTCACATACAAATGGGAAGGGCTTTGGCAATTCAACAACATAATGTTAAGTGATGAAGACATTAATCATGATTGCATTAAGTGCTGCCTACCATACAAGATATAAATAATACAGTACAAAGTCTGAAATCCAGACTGGTTGGGACTTCAGCAATTCCAGATTTGGGACTTTTCCGGATAATAGATCATCAATTTAAATCTGGTAAGATGGCAGCAGAAATTATACAATTAAAATATGAAATCATAATTTATGAAATAACATTTATGATCTAAATGGTATCAAAATTTACAAAAGAAAGCTTAATATTTATTTGTTTACTTTATTAAACATTTCTTTCAATGTAATTTGTTTAAGATGCTTCCACAAAAAATTCAAAAAGTTCCTTTTTCTTGTGTCATATACAGTGGACTTTCCAATGCCATACTCTTCCCATAATTTTGAGACTGATATGCCTTTATCCATTTTTTGCAGCAATCCCACTTTTTGTTTAATGGACATCAAAACATGGTTTCACTTTTTTAGATCCTTTGGGAACTCCAGAATTGGAAACTCTTTTTGACATAATCGAAAGTTCAAGCGTAGTTTTTAAAATTGCCGCAATAATGAAAGTCTGCAAAAAATAAGCTGGATCAAATTAGAAGATCAGGAAGCAGCACAGTCTGCTACATTAATTGAAATGACTTAGAATCAATAAAGATAATTTTAGCCTACCTTAATAGCATCCGTTATACATTACTGGCTGTGTATCACAAGATTAGCGACAAAAGCCAAGTTGTTTCACTAAATTTTGTTTTGCTCCTATAGCATACTGAATTAAGCCTGAATTGTATTATTTTAGTTATCTACTATACTTACATTTATTTCTTGCTTTAAACTAATCTGAGTCCTGAATAAATAAACTCTCACATATAATTAAGGCTTTATCTAGGGCCGGCGCTCAATTACGGGTCCTAAATTCTACTACAAAGTGCTTTTCTAAGTTCTAAATTTTCACCATGCCTAAACTTTGGATCCCAGTGCTTTCACTAGATCATAAATACTTCTTATCCCTTAATTTTGCCACTCGGACCAAGGACCAAGGCAATGGCTTAAGGAGTATGCTTATCCGAATTCCAAAAATTTCGTCTTCCCTAAATTCTGCCGTCTGGTGCCGACATATTCTGCTGCCGCTTCTGGGTTTATGGTGAATAACATATCAGTTATTTTTAATTAAAATAGCACTAAATGTTATCTTTTGGCCTATGAGTTTCATTAACAAAATCTATTTTTAGCATATGAAAAGAAATTTTTGTTGAATTTTTCCTCGTCAACATTTCTTTGAGCATTTAAAAATCTATAATCAATCAAGCATTAGCATAGTAGGTTGTCATACTCTTTTTATTCAATTACTAATATAAAAAAAGTTTAGACATCACAGCATGAGTTATTACTGAAGCTGTCATGCATTGATAAACATGCGGATTAAATAATGCATGCAAAAAATTAAATAATGACTCATCAGATCGGCATCAGGGATATAAAATAGGTGAATGTTTCGATTTGAGATGCATGCCAAGTAGATACGCAGCTACGGAGCCAAATTATTAATCTCACAAATTTATGCTTACATGATTGTTTTTCCATAACGAGGTATTTTATTTAGTGCCTAAGTGAAATTAGGAATCAGAATTTTTAAGTGAAAATCTCCACATGTTTTATCATGGAAGAAAAAATCAAATGCACATGCGTAAAGCATTAATAATAAATAATGTTTGTGATTTTGAGGTCCGGATTTCGGACTTTGTACTGTATTACTGCATTCATATCCAACATACTAACCACCATATTTAACATACTTCTATATACTAGCTTAACCTATATCTAAAATTACAAATAATCATACATTTAATTTAATAAATGATGAAATTTTTAAATGAGAAATAGATTTTAATGATTTTTATTTATATTAAGTGATCCTGAAGAGGATAATAAGCTTATTTTCTTTCAACTCAATGTGCTTCAACTTTAATTTTAGGCATAAATTTAATTACAAGGCAGATAGCTTAAAAAATAAGTGCACACATAAAAATATATAACTATTAAAAATAAATTAAAAACTGCTTACCAAAACACTGTAAAAAAATGGATGTGCACAGAGTCCCAAAATACAAAATATTAGATAGACCATATGGTACAAGAGTTCAAAATCTGTTAGAATTTGACGAAAACTTTTGGTAAAAGTTCCATGGTTACCCATGATACTGACTAGGTGAACAGCTGTTATAACAACCTGCAAAATAAAGTGAAAATGTGCTATAAGAATGGAAACATTAAATGCTAAGCTCTCATAAAAAGTGTAAAGTATCAGAAATTCATTTTTGAATACTTCTAAATTAACAACATATTAAAAATTACTAAGAATTACCAACAATAACAATAATTTAAGATTAAAGGAATTTGTGAGCTAGTTGAACGGAAGACTGGTTTTGCAACAATACTGCTGTACTCAGTGGTAGATGCACAAGTTGCAATCATGAGGGGCCTCACATTCCAAAAGGCACTAGAATGACTGATTAATTAAAAAAAAAAATATTAAAAACATCTTCCGTGTCTTAAGACGACTGGCTTCTAAATGGTGAAGTGGGCCACCCCACTTCATATATCTGCCCACTGGCTGCACTGAAGCCTAATTTTCTTTCATTGATATTCTGAGAAATGATTAAAAACTCCCACATACTGAGATCAACCTATGACTAAGAATCAACCTGTTCATAGTTCTTTCTATTAGACACAATTCAATCACTATCATGCTATGCTGTGGAGCATCCTCACTTTGCTTACCTTCTGTAGCAGACAAGATATGCCATTTCTTCAATTAAAAATTTTTATGACACTGATAATCATAAATTAGGACTATATATATATAAGAGACTAGGACATGCAAACTGAGCTACTGATATAGGTTCTAAAACAGTGCTTCTCAAACTATTTGCCCCATGCACCCCTTTCATTATCTTCCTCCTCCCCAAAACTAAAAAAATACATACATACATACATTTATTTATATTCAGATTATTTTTTAATGCATTTTATAAGTTAAATAACACAAAGTATAGAAAATGTTGATAAGTACCAAAACTTGAATAAAAATAGTTTTTTATATTTATGAACTAAACCTAAATATTAACATCAAAATAAAAGGCTAACTGCATGTTCCCTCTGAAACTATGAAATTCCTCTCCAGTGGGAATTTCCTTGTTGGAAATTGTTCTAACACAAGGTAAACATGATTGATCTTGGGTTGTGATTCCCTGAATATTCATCATAAATGCATTAATTTCACACATACATTAAACCAAAAAATAGGTAACATTTAAAAACAAAACATTTACATTTACTGTTCCTAACATCCAAAGAGTTGGCTGAAGTCCAACAGAATATATCATTCTAAGTATTGAAGAAAACACATAGGCACGAATAACAGTTGTTCCAGGAACAGTTATGACTGCAGCCAAGGAAGCAAACATTACAGTCCAAATCAAGCCAGATACACGAGGATCAATTTTACCTAAGCAAAAAAAGAAAAATCTTTAAAAATTTATCTGAAAGAAATCATTAGACAAGCACACACTTAAATAACAGGTAAAAAAGTTCATAAATGCCAAAATTACTTTATTTATTTGATTATAAGGCAACACCAACTAAAGTTGGCCGCAGGAAGTAAATAAATGAATCTAATTTCACTGACTTAATGCTCTTGGTTCAAAGCTGATAGACACTTTTTTAAACTGGGGGGGGGGAGAGGGGGATTGGCTTGCTATAAGGTACATAGTTGTCTTTTGCGAAATTTTTGCAGATTTCATATATGTTGTTTCGGCAAATTAGTAGAAAATGTGCTTAGTTTGATAAACAGTCAAACTCAGTAAAAAGGGTATAAGGTATTTCTCCCGCCTTCTTAGCATGCCTTCGCAGTGCAGTGGGTCCGCACGCTCGGCGCATATTCGAGAAGCCCGTTTCAAGTCCCAATGAAGGCATCGCTCATTTAACATAACTCCTGCTTCCAAAAAATACCTAATGTCTGTACAGGGTTGCTAGCTAAAATATTATTTTGTTAATATACTTGCTCATGGGTACATAACTTACACTGTTATGTGTTTTGTTTCATCATTTCCTCGCAAAAGAGATGTTATTTGAAAAAATTATTTTATTAGTCAAAAGGGACTTTGTCTCTGAAGGACTATTGTTTTCCTTTTGCGATTTTGTGAATCACTATAAACGCGTATTACTTTACAAACTGTTGCCACAAATTTTAGAGTCCTGCATCATATTTGAAGAAATTAAATAATGAAGAATCTGCATAAATGTATGTATGTTTCTTGCATTGTGATAAAACAAAGGTACCTAGTGCCAACCATTTTTGAATGACGTAATCCTGCTGCGAATATGAGCATCTGAAAGCCCAAATTTGAAATTTGGATTTGTTTTATTATCGATTTCATATTTTGTAAAACTTAACAAATTTTTGATTAACAAATTCAACGATTTAAAAGCGAACAATAGCAACACTCTACGGGGGAAAAATTTTTTTTATCTTTAGCGAGTGGAACTGCGCATCGAAAATTCTAAAGATATGCTCATTTTAAAATTATTTTGCGGCATTGCTGATGAACTGAATTTTATGGTTTAAGTGCAAAAGGCCATGGTATTTAATAAATAAAGGTAACACACAAAACGTTAAAAAAGCGCTCCCTTAGACGCAATTTAAAATCTGAAACCTTTCATATTTTTTTTTTACATGCTCTTTTAGAATATAACTTTTAGAGTATATTCACCATTTTCTTGTGAAAGAGACGCTAACTAAAAATGCATCTTGTTTTAGTATACATACTCGCTATTATAAATGTATTTTGTTATGTTAAATAAGAAAATTTTTACCATTTTCTCCAAAATGTGATGCTAATTAAAAATTATCTTTTTAATATTCTTACTCGTTACTTTTATTTTCGTGTGCTAAATAGAAGAGATTACTGACCATATTCTTCAAAAAAGAGAAGCTAATTAAAAATTATTTTGCTTACATGCTTATACAAAGAACTAGAAATATGAACGATCAGCTACAGTCTCACCGGTATCTGAACAACAGATCTTCTAATGCTACCTATCTTCTTGACACTGTGGCCCACCAGCAGCCGAGCGGCAAAGTCGCTGAACACTGCTAGTTCGGTCTGAGGTTCGAATCCCGCGAACGGGCTGGCTGCATGGGCGTTTTCGTGGTTTTCCCCATGTGTAACGTCTATATGACCCAGTTTCCCTTAGAAAGTCCTCCACGAAGGCATCCCTGCCCCTTAGGCAGATAGACCTTGAGGCTTTGCCATAATCACACACACACTTCTTGACGCATTTTTCTTCAGCCAGAGAAACGAAAAATCTAAAAAGTGTTGGTCCGGCAAAAATCAAAACACAGAAATACATCTGAAGATCTTATTTACTGTCACTCCCTTTCAATGATACCATCTCTAATTTTGTCACTGATTAAATTTTCTAACCTGTCCTAACTAATTACTTATTTTCGACTTCTGTTTTCAGATCACCAGCACTGAAATGACGAATACCATTATAGGTGACGTGGGGTCCTTTTTTGTCCCATTTGAGGTGCGTAATTGCGTTAATATGTGCTATGAAGTAAAAGCACTTCATAGTTAAATCTTGCTATATTAAATAATAACTTGCTATATTAAAAAATGTCCGAATAAGTTGCAAAAATGCATTAAAAATTCCAATTAGTTTAGATAATAGCTTATTTTTAATTTTAGTGTTTGAATATTTCTCTAATAACTTATTTTAAACTTCAGGGTTTGAAAGCTCACTTGAGAAATCTCGAAGAACAGGAAAAGCCTCTTCCTGCAGTTTCTCTTAGTAAAAAGCAAACTTTCTACATACAAGCGGCTCAAGTATTAAATTTTCTTTTCCTCATTTTATAGTTTTTTAATGTCTCGTAATAGTAACGTAGCAGTGAAGAATATGATGATGCTTTACTCGTACATATGTTTACATGAAATTTTCTTTCAAAAAATTTCAGAAAAACGTAAGTTATTCCTTTAAAAAAAAAAAAAAAAACTTTCTGCTGTTATTTATAATAAAACATAATTAATAAGACAAGGAATAGACAAAGTATAAGGAATTCCTGGTGTATATTAGACTGAACTCGGGAACAAATGAACAAATCAGAAATAAATGGGCAAAAATCATTGACAATTTAAAGAGGCTTCACATGTTGATGCATCATTTTACCATATGAGAGATATGACTTGCATCTTCATTAAATGAATGTTAAAAAAAAGCTGCATGTTTCCAGTAGCCAAAAATAGTGATTTTCGTATAGAGCTATTAGAATATGGGTGTTGAATCTTTTGCCATATCTGGATCTACAACTCAAAAATGCCAAAAGACTAACATCCTGAAAACATTATTCCATAACTAATGCAATATGGCGTATTTTGATGTAGCATCCGGTAAAATAGTATATAATTCTTAATAGAAAATACAAACTTCTTATTGAGAATATTAGGTTTTTTGCTCATGAAAATATAGTTTCGCAGATGTGGTAACGATAGTGTCTGATATAAAATGCGATGAGTTACGAGAGATAATGGCGCTGGTTCCAAAATAAAACTAAGTTAGGCCACACAAATATTTAATTATTTACATAATGTACAAAGTTACAAGTTAAGTGCTCCATTAGCACAGACAAAGTGGAACGAGCGGACGCACCATAGGTCCGCTGCGTACATTCTTCAACAACCAACTCGACTAAATTTTGGCTTCTCTCACAAGCGGGCGCTGATCCTAGAGGGCGCTATATTAAACTGAACATTCCGGCCCCCATTGAAACAAGTTTCAATAATGCTATAAAAGTTTTACAATCAATTCAAGTTTACACATACATATGCAATACACAATGAAATGCAATTTAACACAAATTATTTCAATTACAATTAAATTCAGTAGCATATAACATAAAAAAAATAAAAATGTCACACATAAAAATATTACACTTGCACTAAATGAATAATGTAATAATGTCCATTCATAATATGGAAATTTTATATCTGATAGTTGTCTGGTATGGGCAAAATACTTAATTTTGTGACAGGCCTTTTAAAGAACCCTTTGCTGTGTGTACACTAACTATTCTAACTCTTTTATCCAATCTGGGTATAACTTCTTCAACTCGACCTAATATCCAGTGACAAATAGGCCAATTGTCTTCCTTCATGAGCAACATGTATAGAACATAAAAAAAAAAAAAAAAAAAAAAATTGCGTTCAACGCCTAATTAGTTTAAAGCACATTCTAAAGTATCTTTAAATTCCAACATTTTTTATAGCTGCTTTATGTAACAATCTTATAAAAATACATAAAAATATTATATTATATACCCATAAAATAATAAAAATTCAGTCCCAACATGTTAATGAAATTTCAATGTAACTGCTAATTTTATTACTATTAAAATTTTGACATGTTGGCATATACATAATAACAAAATCTTTATCAAGCATTTACTTAAGTAATAAATATGTAAAAATTTTACCTGTGAAATCAGGAAATGGATAAAAAATAGCAACTATGATGTTGACTAGCACTGCTAAATTAAAGGCTATGGTGCTCCACATGGACATGTGACGGCTTACCCAGTAAAGAAGAGGTTGTCCTGGCAAAGAAAGATTATTGTTATACTGATTAATAAATATTTGCAATATTAACAGAGATTTGTATAGAACATATATCACATTTGACAACACTATTAAAAATATTTTGAAAACTGAAACTTGAAGGAAGAGAACACTGCATGAAATAGAGGTACAGAGGCGACAGAACTGCAGGAATGATAAATCTTGAAGCATACTGAACAAAAATATGAAAATCCATAATTACAATTTTGAAAAAACAAAACACAATTGATTATCCATTTGGTATGCAAATGAATTAATGATGATTTTTGGTGTAATCTCTCTATATTGATCCTTACATTAGTTGTATGTATGAACAATACAATATTTTTTCATGCAAAAACTCTGGTAAGTTGGTTGTTTATTTAAAATAATTTCTGCATTTGAATCCAAAGCACTATACCCAAAAACTATATTTCCCCTCTCCTAAAAAATAGTCAAGCTAAGAATAATAATAAAAAAAAAAAAAAAAAAAAAAAAAAAAAAAAAAACCCTTTTAGTTCAATTTTACAAATTAACATGCTATTTCGCACTAGAATAAATACAATTTCTATTACTGTAAAGAGCACTACGTATTCTTGCTATTTAAACCTACTTTCACTGAAATCAGCTGAGTGTTATAAGAGGAAAATACTTGTTCTTCTGTCAAAAAAACAGTTCTATATATTGCAGAAAAGTCTGACAATATGTAAACAAAAAAGGCATCCCTTGATTACAAGAATAAATCATTTATGTGTATACTGAACCAAAAATTATTTATTTACTACTTTAAAAATCATATAAATATCTAGTAACAGCTCTTGAAATTTAATTCTAACACGCAACTCCAACTACACGAAGTTAAGCCACTTCTGATTTATACGCTTCTTCACTTCTCCCATTTCCCAAAAAATAAATTTCACATTTTAATTTCAATACTTCTTCATTGCCTCACCCTCATTTTGATAATCACATACATGTAGAGAAATGAAACAGCAATCATTTTAGCTTAAGTATTATATGTTTGTTCATGTATTAAGTATAAGAACTTTTGCATAATAGAGAGCTAAGTACAGCATAATAAGGAAACTGAAAAACTAAAATATACAACTGTAGCCAAAAACAATGAAAAATATCATGATTAAAAAAACATGCTTTACTGCAAAGTGGTTCTTGGATACTGTGGCAGAAGAGGAAAAAAACTACAATTAGCAAATGCTTACACACTTTTTAAAATGATTTCAATAAAAATTTAAATAGTAAATGTTTTGGAATAAAAATTTCTGGCAACAATTTATTATTGGAAATGAAAAATATAATTTTATATTTATTCTTCTTTCAAAATGCTGCATGTAAAGAAGCATTGAACTGAAGGATATGTTACTGCACTTTCCAAAGAGAAATATATCCATTCTATAAATTCAAAACTGTTATGAAATGCATGGTGCAAATAAGCAACATTATTAATTGAAAGGGAAAAACCATCATTCATTACTTCTACATAGAAAGAAGACTTCAAACAAATAAAGGTCCGTACCATTTAAAATGTTTCTAAAGTTAGATTGTTGGTCAGAAGAGAAAATCTGATGACATAAAGATCAGCTGCAAAGTCTTTATATACAATTGTAACAACAGTAAATAAGATAATAAACCAAGATTTACAACTTAGAAAACCTAAACAAAATAATATTTGCCAGCTTTTGCTATGGCATGTGGCTCAATACAAAATAATTTGTAAAACTCTGTATGAAAACTACTTAGTGGGAGATAAATGAAAACACATTGTGACCCTTGATGCAGCATGGATTTACCTAAATGACTGCCACAAAAGAAGGTATATTTATTTAAAAAAAAAAAAAAAAATGTGCAAATCTGCTTTCATCGGTACAAATAGAGTTTCAGCAAGGAGCTTATGATTGTCACAAGATTCTCTCAAAATAGGAAATTAAAAATAAGAAGAGCTGAAAAAAATGTTAAAATCAACTCAACTTGCCATTACGAGAAGGTTTGGTTTATTTGATTATGGCACAGAAAGAACCTTAGGCTATCTGCCTAAGGGAAGGAATGCCTTTGTGAAGGTCTTTCTAAGGGAAACTGGCTCAAATACATGTTACACATGGGAAAAACCATAAAAATGGTCAAACAGTAAGTCTGTTTGTTAGGATTTAAATCCTGGACTGAACTACTATAGTTTAGCAATTTTAACACTTGGCTGCTGGTAGGCTTATTACCAAGAGAAAGGTTTACATTAAATATTTATAAAAGAAATTCCATTTTTTTAAATCCCAATGATGTTCAAACAGTGAAATTTCATCAAGATAAAGAAATAAGTCATAATTCATAAAATACCATTGCATTCCTTGAAAAATTAAAAACGATACAAGTACTACATATATACATTTAAGAAGTATTCCTGCAAAGTTCCCTGACATTTCACCTATGGACTATTATGCTTCTAGTTTCTTGAGCTCTTTCTAAGCACAAACTCACTATGAATGTTCTTCCAGTAGAGGACTGGGAAAGAAATGGAAATAAAAAAACACCAGAAATTTTATGAAAAGCCCTTCTATCACAAAACCACAATGCAAACTTATAATCCAGAAGAAAGCTTATCAGACTCAACATTTAGAAAAATACTCACTGCATTTTATATTCTAAAAATGTGTAAACACCCTCTGTATAAATTTCATGATTTCAGTACTGACCCAGAAGCTATGCCTTACAATTAGATAAATAAATAAATGATACACTTAAAAAACTAATTAATCATGCCTTATTTTTATAAATAATTTTAATCAACAATTAGGCTCTTAATTAATATAATAATTGAATGAAAGGAATGGGAAATTAAAATTAATACAGTTGCAAATAAATCTGATGTGAACCAGGATAAAGACATTTAAACTTGATGCACTTCTTTCTTCACTTCATGGTACTTTGAATCTAATAAAAATACGTAATAAGTGCACCATTATTATAAGCACAGCCAGATTTAGACTTGATAAGGCCTTAAGCTATTTGAGATAATTGGACCTTTATATATCTTTTATACTATATTTTACTTTTTCTGGGGCCTCCAAGAAAGTGGAGGCTCTAAGCTATAGCTTGTGTAGCTTATACGTAAATCCTGCACTGAATATAGGGCTGTCATTTTGCATGCTGAACCAAACTTTTGCATAAATTTATTCTTTTCATAGCTATTTTAGCTATGCAACTCCTTTTACACTATTAATACAAAGTCAGAGATCCGAAATTGCTCACACTTTGGCGATTCCACATTTTGGAAATTTCTGGATTTTAGATCATTAGTTAAACTCTAGTAAGATAGTATTTCGAAATCACACAATTAAAAATCTGAACTAATGAAGCATTAATAAACTTAGCAGAATAACAAAAATTACCAAAAACTCAATGTTTACTTTATTTTTGTAAACATTTCTTTCAATGTAGTTGTTTAAACTACTTCATTTTCTTTACTTTCTCTTTAATTTTATATAGATAGACATAAGTTTTTGGTCAGTTACAATATAATTGCCATATTGACAATTTCTAATTAACTGACAATTGAAATTTTTTTATTCTCAACTTTTTTCACTATGAATTGCAATATTTCTGGATTTAAAACCATACAACAGATTTCACTGTCCATTAGCTGACTGCTGATTGGGCATTATCATTTCAATGTAAAACTTCTGCTATATCATCTCTCCACATTTCTTTACAAACTCTATTTAATAGGAAAATTTTCCCTCCTGCAGCATTCAAAATTTATGTCAAAATAAATTTACTGTTTTGACTAATTTGAAATTGCATTTTTTTAAGTCTGAATTGCACCAAGGCTGTTATAAAAAGGCAAGTATCAATTATGTTTTCATTTTGTAGAACCTGCTACAGCTCCAGAATTAGAAATTCTTTTATACATAAACAAAAATTTAAACTTCTATTCTGATAAGATATCAATAATAATAACTGCCTGCAAAAATTAAAAAATAATCAGCTGGATTAAACTAGAAAGCTAAGGAAAAGCAAACTTTGCTATGTTAATTAAATTTCAGTTCTTTGTTATTGATGTTGTTGGTTTGTCCAACAATGAATACTCTACAAAAGCTCCTAACAGTACTAGCTTCAGAGTCAAACTGCACTGTTATTAACTGCAACAGGCCAAGAACAAAGTCAATAAAGAGTGCTCATGGTAAGTCATTTGATTTCTTAAGATAGTGTAAAACCTTATATCATTTGAAAGACCAAGAGTAACTAACTGGAAGTGGCTGGAATGTTTTGCCTAATCTGCTGAATAACCTAAACCTTGAACTAACAGAATACCAGACTTTCCAGTTGCCAAGTTGTACGTCCTCATTAGTCCAAATCATGGTGAATGAGTAGTGAACAGATTTCTGGGTTTTAAAGGCATCCCTTAGCACAAAATGTATGAAACATAAGCATATCAATATGTAATTTTAAATTAGGCAAAAGCCAAAATTACCACTAATACTGCTTTTATAGAAAAATTCACATATTTTTGAGAGAGATACTGAAATGTGGTCCTTTCTTTCAAAAAGCAAAAAAATCAATATTATAGAAAAGAAATATGTAATTTAAATTGACAAAATAAAAATCTTTCTCTTTTTCGGTATCAATTACGTACAAGAAACGATCATTTATTCTTTTCACAAAAATCTCCTCAAATGTTCCTTAAAATGTTTTTTTTTTTTTTTTTTTTTTTTTTTCTCTAAAACCACATATTTAGGGTTAAATCTTCTTCAATTTTGAAACTTCATCAAATAACTTTTAATAGAAAAGGGAAACAACAACAAAAAACTATAACAATAATAATCAATGCAATATGAAAGTATGACTTGTAAGGGGTATTTAACCCTTTCAGGGGCAATATGTAAAAGAATTTAAAATATCATACAATTTTGCATGAATTGTAACATATGGACCCTAAGAACAAAAAATTGAGACTTAGAAAAAAATCTAGAGTGAAATCCTGAATTTTGAAGGCTGGTGTATATTTATATCCGCCTGTAAGACATTTCTTTTCCATGTAGCTGCAAATTTTTGGGTATTTTTGACGTGTGTCTATAGGAATGGGTGCCTACGTAAATCTGTAGTTAAAAAGCACTAAAATTTCTTTAGAAATTTAAAATTTTAGAAACAAAATTTATGTTTTTAGGCAATTTGATGATGCCACCCAGTTGAATATAAATGAGTAAAATATATGTAAAAAGCTTTTAAAGTGATTTAAATTCAATACTGTTTTTTTATCGAAAAGTTTAGCAAATATCACACTGCTTGCATAAAACGTATCATGCTGTAACTGACCTAGCATAATGTTACAACAAAATGTAACTCAAGCTGAAAAATGAAGACTAGGACTCAGTTGAAAAATTAGTTATATATTTGAGTACAGAAAGAGAAGGCTGGTGCTGCTATCTATTCGCAAGGTACCCTCAGTATGGGCACTCATATATTGTATATACTGATATTAAAATCCTATAAATAATCTTTTAATTACCAATTTTGATTGAAATAGAGTAAATATATAAGGTTTAGGAAGTGTACATCATATATTTGAAGATTTTGAATTTTTTCCTCCCCTCCAATAGAATTTATGAATCTTCAAACATGAAAACTTTGAACGAGGTATATTAATGTCATAACTGCAAAATATTGAGCATTCATAGGGTAGTGTTGCCAATTAGAATCAAAAAGAAACTCAAGATTACAGTTTCTGATGAAGAAAAATTAGCATTTTTTAGGTTAAAAATTTGAGAAACTTTCCTTATATGGTATACACTGGTGGCCTTTAAAGGGTTGAAAAAGATACAGCAACTTTTATTTGCACACAACATTAAAATTCATGCAATTCAAAAACAAGTCATATATTAAATCACAAGGAATTGATGAATTTTTGTGATATGAGATATCTTAAGTATGTACTTAACCTAAATCAATACACATCATCAAAGTGATAGTCAATTTTATGCTACACACATTCTAGATGCATAATTACTAATAGGATATATATTGCAGTGATGTGCTACCGAAATTTTTGTAACTTGATGAATATGGTCATCAGATACATAATGTCTTAAAGGAAAAAAAAAAAAAAAAAAAAAAAAAAAAAAAAAAAAGATTAGATCTAATGAGCTACAGGTGACAAGTAGAACAGATTGATATCTTATGCATTTAAGTCAGAAATAAAGAATGTTAAAACTTAACATCCAATGCAATTGCACATAAGAAAATTTAAATTTTCTTCGCCCATCAGAATGTTTCTATACAGCAAGAAATAATCATTTTCCAAGCAAATAAAGTTTTAATTCTTTTTTAAACATCCCATACACATAAGATATGATATATTCATAAACAACTGCTTAGAAACTGTAATAAATTTCTAAATAAAAACCAAAAACTAAAAATAAATATATTTAAAATGCACCTCTAAGTTTCTTTTGCCATTTCATTTCATTAAATAAATCATCTGTTCTTTCAAAGAAATCAGATACCTAAGAATTGAGAAAAAGACAATTACACAAACATACTCATTGATTAAGACACAATAACACGCCGAATAAATACTAATTCAGAAGTCAAACAACAAAAATCAGCGTTAATTTACAAAATTTTCACAGCTGTGAAAATTTTGTAAATTAACGCTGATTTTTGTTGTTTGACTTCTGAATTAATACTCATTGATTTTTACACAATTTCAGATAGGCATAATTTTTACATATTTAAATGCAGAAATTGTCATCAATGTCTTTTAATTCTTTTAGAGCAACTTAATTCAATAAGTAATTTAATATACATATCAAACAATAACATATGAGAGCTAAAGATCTGAATTTTTCAGTTACTTAACGCACTTTGCTTCCTTGTTCATCCCTTTCAGCTTTATAATAAACCTCCATCTTTGATTCTCTGGTTAAAAATTCACAAATCTGAGGGACAGGGAAGACAATTTGCTCCATTGTGCGATCATGACGAACAATCTAAATTCAACAGAAGAAGGAGAAATACTTTTAGTAATGACACTTCGCTTCAGTTGTAATTAGCACAAGGCATAAAGAATTAAAATGATATAAAAGTTTAACATGTACATTTTGGCAACACATAAGTAAAGAGGCATTTTTATTTTCTTGTACCAAGTAAAGGAAATAAAAAATTTTGGGTATAACATTTCAACAGAAATATCCATTTTGATCATTCCTGAAACTATTTTGACTTTTTTTTTTTTTCCTTCTCCACAATGTCTGCATGCAATGACAAAATACAGGACTTCCCTTTTCCAAAATAGATTGTAAGATGAATTTAAAATGGATTTTTTCATGACGTCTGTAAGAGCATAGGTATACATCTCACGTAACTCCAAAACAATCAGGCATAGAACGCTGAAATTTTCTATATGGGATTGCTATAACATCTAGATGTGTACCTCAATTTTTTAGAGCAATTGGCAAAAGTCACCCCATTTACCTCGCTAAAAGTTCATACCATATACAAAGTTCACTTTCGCAATCATTGGTCGTAGCCATACACTTCAAATTACAGACATGTTTTAAATGAAGAAAATATTCATGTTTCAGCAATGTTAAATTAAAAAAAAAAAATTTGGACAAACAACAAAATATAACTTTTAATGCAGTCTCCTGGTTCCTATACTTACATTTGGGATGGTTTTATACTCACTATGAAAAAATAAAATTAGAAATTTGACTCCCATACGACTATGCTGACCAGGATTATTTAAATTGAAATTTATAATTTTTGAAATCATTTTAAACTTGTCTTGAGTGATCACATAATTGAATTAGAACAATTTGAGGAAATAAGTTTAAATGAAGTGCAACAAAAAATGTGTATAATTTAATAGGCTGTACAAGGAAGTTGTATTGTTTCCACATCCAATTTCTTTTTTATTAAACAACATTTGAGAATAAAAATAGAACAGCATTCTAGGAGTTAAGAAATAAAATAAAGCAATTTAAAACAATAATAATACAACTGATGGGTTTTGTTATTGCATGTTGAGGAAAAGAAGTTGAACTTTGTTAACTACGTGACAATAACTAAATTACAACATAGATGAGATAGTTCTCTTTAATTGATATAAGAATGTCTAAGAAAAATAGTACAGTCAAAAGTCGTTAATTCGGACACCCATAATCCGGAATGATCTATAATCCGTACCTCAAAGCTACAAACTTTCTGCGCATGCGTCGCTTTGATGCACGCGCATAGGCGATTACGCGTGTGCGTAAGACCTTTATGGCTGCAAATATATGTGTGCGCATGCACGTTTAATGTATAACGGACGGTAAAAGGTAAGCTAAAATTATCTAATTCAGTTAATGTTGCAGATTGCGTTGTTCCTTAATCTTCGAATTGGATCCGGCTTATTATTTTTTGCAGATTGTTAGAGCAATTTTATAAAAGTAAGCTTGAACTTTCGATTATGTCAAATAGAATTTCCGATATATATTTACTAATGTGTAAAGGATTTACAAAGCGAAAGTATTTTTCGAAATCCGAAATCTGTTTATCAATTTCAAGCTGCTCTGCGGCGGGGGGAGGGGGGGGAACGCCGTGACGCGTAATGAATTGGAAGTTGATCTGTCAGCACTATCCTTATCTTCACGGCAGATGTTTTTATTTCATTTGGCTTATAATTTCTTACTAAATGTAGTATTTCATGTCGATGTACTCCGTCTTTGATATGATTTAAAGCAATTATAGGACTTGAACAGCGGAACTTTGTAACTAAACAAGAAATTATGTCTGTTTAATAGAATTAAAGAGAAAGTATTATCATATGAAAAGAAGCAACTTAAACAACTTACATTGAAAGAAATGTTTAATAAAGTAAACAAATAAATATTAAGCTTTTTTTTGTGAATTTTGATACCCTTTAGATCATAATTGTTCTTTATTTCATAAATTACGGTTTCATATTTTTAATTTTGTAATTTCTGCATGTCATCTTACCAGATTTAAACTGATGATCTATAATCCGGAAAAATCGATAATCCGGAATCGCCGAAGTCCCGACGAGTCCGGATTAACGACTTTTGACTGTATATCAGAAAATCATGAAACTGCTTAGTGCATATTAACAGTATAAGAAGAAAAAATTCTTAGTGGAGGAAACTTTGCTGTAATGATATGAATTTAATCCATGTTAAGTGCATAATGCAATAAGTTTAGTGTGCAGTACTAGTAAAAATGAATATCACATTTTTCGGAAAGTAGGTAACATGATGAAAACCTATGTACTAGACAATCTAGCAAACCTAACCAGTGCTCCTCCACACTCTGCAAAGTATATAAGCATCTTACTGAAATATAATACAGGGCAGTCCATATTACTGAAAAATTTCAATAGAGAGGACCTGGAAGAGATTGCCTGTAATAGCCAGCTCATTTGGCTTCACAACATACAATTTTTGGTTGTGAGCAATATTCAAAGAAAGTTTTTATGCAACAAAAATCACATACTATCAGCAATGCATATGAAAGATTTAAAGTTGTTATATATTGGGTCTGGGAAAAAGTTCATGCACTTTTGGAGTAAAATTCAACTGGTTTTCTTACAGTGTGAAATAAGAATTATTTAAACCAAATATGCTCCATTATTATTGACAATGTTTCGCTATCTTTCAGGTAGAGCCATGATGCCATTGGTGAAGAACTTCTGTAGTTTTTGGTTAAAACCTGAATCAAGTAGTTTTCACAGGCTTAATTCCATTGAGAGAGTTCTGAAGAAATGAAAGAAGTGATAATCTGATGATGCTATGTCTGGACTATATGGTGGGTGCATCATAACTTCACAACCAAGCTTGCACAATTTTTGACGAGTCATCAATGAAGTGTGTGGTCAGGTATTGTCATGATGACAGACAATACTTTTCTTATTATTTAATTCAAGCCATTTTCTTTCAGTTGCCTGAATAATCTCTAGTTGTTCACAACAGAGTTGAGAATTAATCATCTGAGCAACTGGAAGTAGCTCATAGAGGACATTCCTTTCCAGTCCAATCACATACATAGCAGCATCTTATTTGGCATCAATCCTGGCTTCGTAACAGCTTGTGATGACTCTCCATCCTTATCTATGATCTTTTATGCTCACGATTGTCATACATAATCCATTTCTCATTCATGGTTATGACACGTTTGAGAAATAGCTCGAGTTCATTGTGTTTCAGCAGTGCATCGCAAATGTTAATTCGGTCTAACATGTTTCCCCATGCTTAACTCATGTGGAACCCAGACATGGAGCTTTTTTTTTTTTTTTGTAGCCAGCTCTGTTTAAATGGTTCAAAACAAGTTTGTGATCAATGCCCAGCTCCATACCAATGTTCACACTGCTGATGTGTTTATCTTGGACTTTTACAAGAATTTCATCAGCTTTTTCAGTAATTGGAGGACCAGAGCATGACTCAACTTTTACATTTAAATTACCAGAACAAAAGCAAATGAACCATTTCTGTGCATAAGATTTTTGTTATGGAAGCTTCACCATACACAGCAAAAAATTTTTCACAAGCCTTGACAGCATTCTTTCCTTTGTCATAATGATAATACTGCAAAATACAGAGAAATTTCCCCTTACTTTTCTCCATTCGATATTTATACACTCACAGTAATGCTCGAAGAATCACCTTTCCAACAAGCATTTAATGGTGTGGCTGTGATCTATGTTTTCTGAGTTATTTGCTATTGATGCCATCTACTGAGAAAAGCACAACAAACTTTTATCCAGACACATTATATTACACCACCAGGCAGAGGTGTCTCTGTGCTCCACATGGGATACGTTTAAAAAATATCTGGACAATGATGGCACACATGTGAAAAAATCCTCATGTAAATATTTTTTGTAAATATATAAATTCTGTTGAAACAAATTTATATAATGAGAAGTACACTTCCTATATTCCTTATAGCGTTTATATTTTTTGAAGCTATATATAAATACAGGGTGTTTCATATTGAATGGGGCAAAAAGAAAGCATACCTGTGAATGCTGTGATTACTTAATTTTGATAATTCAAATTTACAGTGAAACAATAGTTATCCAAGTTTCTATAGATGTTCTACGTGTGCCCCTCCGGAGACAGCAAATATCTATGCAATATTCCCGTTCCTGCCATACTTGTAAAAGAATACCCTTCGTTAACTATTCGAGCACTTCAGTTATCCACTGCTTTTCAGTTGCTGTAAGTCCTGGGGAAATGACTGTACAAACTCTTTGTCTTTAATAAAAACACCATATGAAAAAAATCACAAAGTGTTAGCTCTGTTGATCTTGGTGGCAAAAAAGCAATCGCATATCGTTTGGCCCATGGTCAATCCAGTGATAGGTAGACTATCATTAAGGTGCTGGAGTATGTTTTTATGCCAATGTGGTGGAGCACTGTACTGCTGCAGAATGAAGTTGGAAACCACTTCCACCACCTGAGGGATGAGAGAACAAATATTCTGATAGCATATCTTGGTACATGCATGCTAATCAATTTTTTCACAATGGAAAAAGGGACCAAAAACACAACTGTTGGAAATGTTGCAGACAATGTTCACCTTTGGAGAATCATGCTCCTGTTCCATTACACCACGTGAATTTTCTATGCCCCAAAATTGTAAATAGAGGCAATTAACTTTGCCAGAAATTTAAAAAGTGGCTTCATTTGTAAACACAAATCTGTTCGCCAAACCATCTACTTCCAATTTACCTTGCAAATTCTCAAAGAAAGCTTTATGCTATGGTTTATCGGAAGGCCCTGCACTACCTGAAAGTTGCATGGCTAGAATTGTAGACATTTTGTAGCACACACCATACTGTTACATGAAACACATCGAGTTCAGAACTTGCATGATGCATTGATTTAGTGGAACTTTGTAAAAACATTTCATAGATTTTTTCCAAATGGCTGCTGTTCGTTGTGGATTTCTTTTCTCACACCAGCAACTTATGTCCTGAAACTGCTTCATCCATTATTTGATGCCTGTATGCATGTTTCTCAGACTGAACAAACTTTCTTTAGGACACAACAAGTTTTGCTTCTTCCATGCCCTGCTTATGTCCCCAATAAGTCACCCATTGAACATGTTTAATATTTCATTGATCGGCAACTCGCTCATACAGCTACTAGTGAAGCACACACTAAGACTTAACTTGTGTCATGTCGAAGCCATATTGAATGTCATTCCGCAGGATTATATTTAGAACCTGTATGATTCAATGCTACGATGCATACAGGCTCTCATCGCTCAGCATGGCAGACACACAAAGTACTGATTTGCAAATTTTTTTTTAGTTCAAAGGGGCAATTTGCCCAGAAGGACCATTAATTTCATTTTGGCATTTTGCATTGAATCACTAAAAAATAGCGTATCACTTACAAATTGTTGTCACCAAATATTATCGCCCTGTGTTATATTTAAAGAAATTAAATAATGAAGAATCTGCATAAATGTATGTATGTTTTTCGCATTGTGAAAACAATGGTACCTAGTGACATCAAATTTTGAATAACACATTCTTTCGCTGAATATGGGCTTCTGGAAGCCCTAATTTTGAATTTGAAACTTGTTTTTATTATCAATTTCATATTTTGTAACACTTTAACGAATTTTTGATTACAAACTCAATGATTTCAAAGCGAACAATGGCAACACTGCATGGGGGGATTTTTTTTTTTTTTTTTTAAATCTCCAGCGTGCAAGACTGTGTATAGAAAATTCTAAAGATATGCTGATTTTAAAATTACTTTGCAATATTGCTGCTGAATTGAATTTTATAGTTTAAGTGCAAATAACATGATATTTTATAAATAAAGTAACACACAAAGTGTTAAAAAAAGCCCCTTTGAGCATAATGTAAAATCTGAAAGCCTTCAGATTTTTTTTTTTGGAGGGATAGGGTTTTGTAAATTTGATCAGTTATTTGAACCAGTATCAGTAATATGTGGAATAAATTTCATTCATTTCTGACAATTCCTTCATGGTGCTGCATTTTTCACGAACATTAATTAGTATACAATTGTAGTTTCAGAATTAATTTATTTCAGCTAAGTCAATCACAGAATTTGTACTATGCTATTCTTTTTGTCGCATTCAATATGAAATACCTTATATTTAAGCAAAAATATACTTACCAAAAGAAGTTTCTTTCAGTTTCAATTTTAATTTGTTCAATAAGAAATAATCTAGAGACATAAAAACAATGAATAGAACATAGAAAGAAACCAGTTTTCTCAGAGACCAAAAAATCATGGGCATTCTTAACCAATACTCATGCAAGAGTAAAAAAGTGTTTTGTTAAAAATAGAGCATGCAAATCCTGTGACTATTTGTTCATAACAGCTTTAAAAGCCTTCAAAATGTCTAACAATAGCCTTCAAAATGCCCGAAAAATTATAAAGACATTTTTTTTTTTTTTTTTTTTTTTTTTTTTTGTTTTTTTTTTTTTTTTTTTTTTTTTTTTTTTTTTTTTTTTTTTTTGTTTTTTTAAAAAAGCAAAGAAAATTACAGACATTATCTTGATATGAGACTAGGCAGGAATACTCTTATGGCTGAAGGGTAATCTATGCTCTTTTAAATCAAATTCGGGACCTTTCTTAATGGCTCATATTGGAAACATATTTTATTATTCAGAAACAACAGTTTTCAAGAAATATGAAAATCTCTCATTTGCAGTTCTGATTGAAGCTATGCAATGTTGCTCATTATCATGCTATCAAAAACAATTAACAAACCTTTTATTTCTCTAGATCTTCCACTAACATGATGAGCAGAAGTTTTATTTACTTTAGATCTACAATAAGCTTAATATATACATGCCAACTAGGCAGTAAAACCTAAGAATGTTTTACCTAGTTGGAGGGGGGGGGAACTATTAGAAATAAGTCAAATATGACTATTCTGCTTTATTTGCACTCAAAACAGAGTTTTTTTTTTACTGTTACATCAACGCACATTCTGCCAATTATGATTGAAGTCATCCTGGAAATTCTGGCACAAAGCATATGAATGGGCCAAATTGCCATTAATGTAAATTTATTCAAGATACAGATGTAATTTGCAATAATACATGTTATTTATTCACTATTCTTATTTTTTGATACAGCTACTTCAGATGCTACTTCTACTACTGAAACTTTCTTAGAAATGTTGTGCTTTGAAAATTCATTTCTAATGGAGAGAAAATTTTATGTAATACATATGTGAAGGGGCATTTAAAAATGATGCCATTGGTCTTGAACTACAGTATTAATCAGAAAAATTATGGAACACATCATGTAAATATATAAAATAATTTATGAATAAGCTAGATAACCCTTTTTTTTTTTTTTTTTTTTTTTAAACCAGGTATTCTTCTTTGCAAACTGACTACTTTTTCATACTGCATGTGAATAAAAATTCTTATTCAGTAGAAAATAGCTTGGAAAAATGTAATTCAAAAGATCATTACTTGTATAAAGCTCTTCTTTAGACAAACTTATCTGCCACTAAATAATGCAGAGAACATATGTTTGGATATGACAGAAAAATTGCCAAAAATACAATTAAAGTTTTAAACAAGACTTTTAAGTGTAATTAAATTACTATATTATTATAATAGGTAGCTGCCAAATGAAAATTTGACCTTCTGGAATAATGTCAAAAAGTTTTGATAATAATATGTATTTAATGGCCCAAATGTCGTTTTTGCCCTTGGCTCTAAAAAATAATAATAATACTTCTGTGGATTTCTCACTACTTTACTTCAAGTTACTGAAAGTTGAAAATATATTTTTTAAATAACAACATATTTTTTTGTACAATTGTGTTGCATAAATAATTTTTTAGCAAAATCTTAGGTACCAAATATTGCTCTCCCTCAAGTTTTATAAGGGAAGAACATCAAGTTCAGAATTTCTAACTAAAACTGAGAAGCTGTGGTTTACATTTAAATATTTAACAATGCTGTTAAACCAAAAAAACTGCATTTTTGTATAACCATCTTTAAAAAATAAAATTTTAATAAAATTTTAAGTTACATTGCTGTTACACTCTTTAATTTTAAAGAAAGTATCTGCATGATTAACTGATTTCAAAGCAGAGAAACAACAAAAATGAATTCTACCAACAGAAAATTACTTACTTCAATTTGAGCAGTATGGCTAGCATAATATTGCAAGGCTTGATTCATCTTAGATTCAGGATCAGCAAGATTAGGTTTCAACATAGCTGCTAATTCTTTATTATGCTGAGCAAGCTGGTGGCACAAAATGTAAATGTTGTGACCAACTTCTTTTGGTGAAACCCCATCATCAATTTCAAGAACATCTTCACTGTCTTCATCATCTTCATCTTCACCTTCTTGATGATATGCATTACATGCTACATCCACCTATAGCAAATGTAAAATAACTTTCTTATGCATACTAGAAAAATTTATGCATCTTTTCCACTGAATTTTAGATTTTTCTTACCTGGATTATACATGTAAGATAAAAAGTATGCATATCAAAATTATAATTAGCAACAACCCCTTAATCTCCTATTTCAATTTGGGTACTTTCCATCTTTCTCTTCTAAAAATAACAATAACTCTTTTGGACTGCATTTCATTTCTAGATTAATCCTATCATATTACTTCTATATAATGATGACGGCACAGCTAATTTGGAACTCAAAACTTTGAGAACAAAAACCTTTCCCTTAATAAGCTCCATACTGGATAACTGCTCACTTTGCTTCTATTCAGACTAAGTGGATGCTTCTTTTTCCTATTACAACAATATCATAAATGTAAACGTTCTTGAAAAGGCCCTATTAGTGCACCAATTTGTTTGTGATCACAAAATGCTTATTGAAATAAAAATTAATATTTAATCTGCCTCGGCTGACAAGCTTGCTTTTCACTATGGATCAACACCTCAACATCTATGCTATCAACATTAATACATCATTTATCTGAATCTACAACAACATTATAAAAATATGCAAGAAAAATAAAAAGATATGAATAAAAATTTATAATTTAAACTAGAAATAGCTCTTTTATGCTGAACTTTAATTTGGGTATTTCCTCTCCCTATTGTAAAAAGAGTAATACCTTATTTTGCACTGCATCATTTCCAGACTTATCCATGCCACATGACTCTTACATAATGCTGGTGACATAAATGGAACTATCACAGCCTATTATAATTTTTAGAGCATTAATAATTATCCAATCAAATGTACTGAGAACTGAAACTAACTCATTCTAAATTTAAGATTTCATCTTGAATGCAAGACGTCCATTTTCTTCATTTCGGCCGAGATAGACTGCTATCCGCTGTTTCTCTTTTTTTCCCACCGCAAAGCTATCCAAGATGTAAATGTTCTTGAAAAGATACGAGTAGTGTGTCAATCTGCTTGCAATAGAAAAAAGTAAAAAAAAAAAAAAAAAAAAAAAAAAAAAAATCTTTGACTGCTAAGTTGCTGTTTAATTATGGATCAACATCTATGAAATACAATATTTCACAATCTAAATTTGCTTCATCTCGCACATGTAAACATGCATGCAAAGGTATTTATTTAAGCATTTTTTGAATTGTCTCCTACAAAAAATATATATACACACACACATACATATATATACATAAGACAGAACAAAATATGATAGCTGCTTTAAAAAAAGAATTGGCGATCTCAAAATTAACACACTCTATTTATATATGTATATCAATAATTATATGAAAAAATTATAAGGTGGGAGCCTTCATAGGTTATATCTTCTGGTATGAGGAGGGCAAAAAAAGGAACAAAAAAAAGAGGTAAAAACAGGGCTTCTGTTTTGAACCAACACTCTCTCATCATACTCTTTCTTTATATGCAATTATTTTTTTTAAAGCAGCTATCGTATTTTGTTATATCTTACACATATATATATACATACAGTTCTTAAGTAAAAAGATACTGAATTGAGCAACAAAATACATTAGCGCCAAGTAACCATAGATAATTACATTAAAAAATGCATTGTAGTATAGCAAAACCATGGATAAATGCTAACAACTACACTTAACATGATATTCATGCAGCATATAAAATACAGCAAATTTCAATTGATAAATTATACACATCAAAATATTAAATAAAATAAATAATAAACTATACTGCATGCCAGCGATCTCAAATATGTAGCCTGTGGGCTGCTTATGGCCTTTGAAGCAATTTTATGTGGCTCACAAAGACATTTCAACTATGTACTTGTTGCAAATATGGTGTCCCAGAAATTTCAAGATTTTAGTTATTTGAGTCTATATTAGTTTCATTCCCATTAAAAACAAATTTGTATTCCTGTAAATACAAATTTGAATTTTTTTCTTTTGCGATATTATTACTTCTATTTATGTATGTTTTAATATACATTAAATAAAATAAATTTAAAATTATTAAAAATATTTTTTAATTTTATTAGTACAATTTTTCATTTTGTTAAAAAATATTCAGGCCCATTAATTGTTTTTGATCATGCATGTGGCCTGCATATAATTTGAGTTTGAGACCACTGCTGTATGTTACATTGAGCATTTAACAATATACCGGGTGGTTATAATTAAACTATTCCTATAAACGTTATCTATCCTACAGTGCAAATGGGTGAACGGAATGCAATGAAAATTTGTATATGGCCTATATGAGATGCGCTCAAGGAATTTAGAAAAAACATTGTTGGTTCCAAAATGTTCTCCAGAGGGCACATTTTCGAGAAAAACATGAAATTTAACACAACGACCAAAATGGAATACAAAAACAATAATAACAATCCAGCAGTGGCGTAGCGAGAGGGGGGCAAGGGGGTGCATGATGCCCCGGGAGCCGCTCGTACAGGGGCGCCAAATGGTCTCCAAACAAGATTTTCCGGAAAATTTCTATTTTTATTTTGATCGATTTTCTGGCAAATATATTTAAAATTAATAACTATTGTAATAAATTAATTATTTTCTTGATTTGTGTGGATAAATGTGTAAAAACTTTTTGCAGTACATCAACCAAAACGTTCTTTCTGATCCATTTATTTCTCCAAGTATAGATATATATTTAACAAATGCACGTATACCTCCCGCTTTTTATTTTAAAACGATAACACGACCTTGTCTCGAATTTCTCAAACATATCCAGTTTCCAGAAACCGATTCCATAGTCTGTAAATGGTATTTTCGGGAACTCCTAACGCTTCCGCTACAATGGATTGCATTTGACTCTCTTGTAAACGACTGATGGCCTTCCTGGCTACCAATTCAACTAAGCCATCTTGTTGAGACGTATATTCAATGCTACAAAGCAGTAAAAACTTGTCAATTGTTTTTAATTTCCGGCTACAAAAGAAATGCTGCAGGTCGTTCCTACTCTTATCTAAAACGCATAGTTTTCGACGTCACAGACTAAATTTTCATATTCCCAACTTTGTAAACTTTATGATTTTCCTTTATAATCTCTTCTAATTTTCTTTCTTTTGTTCAAAAATTTATCGATTATATGGTTATTTCATACCGAACCCACAATATCCCCGAATTGTTTTGACAGTGAATGTTCTGCATGACTTACTCCGCAGTAGAAAAGAACAGAACCTAAAACTCCACTACATATCTATAGAGAATATTTTTTTTCCAACCTAAAGTCGCACTTTAAATACTTACTATGAACGTTCGTTCAGCAAATTAAAATAATTTTCACATATTTACAATCAAGGTGGGACAAGAATTCTCCCTAAGTCATCTAGCATTTTTAAGTGTGGAAAGAGAAAAATTTGAAGGATCGACTTTGATGAAGTAAAATGATAAATTTGCTTCATCCAAGGAAGAAATTAAAACACAATAATTAATTTTATTCATTATTATATATTATTAAAAATATAAGAGCCCGACCAAGTCGGGTGCACGTGATTGAAGCGAGATGAGGACAAATAAAATTTTTAAGTTGGTTGGTAGTGTGTCTGACAATTTAGATCTTTGGCACTCCAAGCATGAACGATCCAGTTGGCTATTCCTTTGCCATGCTAGGCCATAAACGAAACTTTTCTATATAAGTTTCCTTGAAGCCTTGACCAGGATGTGACAGAGTGTAACTGACTAAAAATGGGCAGGGAAACCCGGGAACGTCGACCCGGAGGGAAGTCGAAATCTTGAATCCTGAAATCACAATAAAGGATTTTCCCATTGCAGCTGCATAGGCTGCAAGTTGAGATTATGGAAGATTTCTTTCAAGAGGGTTTGTAGTTCTGAATTCCGGTGTTGTTCATCCGCAAGGGCAGCAAAGGTATTGGCGAAGGAACGGCTTTTCTTCATACGAGACAAGATGTCTCTACAATATTCTGCGAACCCGCAATATAACAGAATCTGTTGAATTGCCCTATGAAGTCTAGGTGGTTCTCATTTGACGAGGAGAATTTCTTTTCTTCGCTGTTGAAAGAGGCTGCTAAAAGTATAGATTAAGGGTTTCGTGATCTGTGAAGATCATGAAAAAGCGTCCCTATAGCTAATATTTCCAGCTTCATATTTTCCTAATAATTCGCGATCGTAGTGCCTGTATCTGGTTTGTAACTAGTAAGATTTTTTTGAAAATAAAAGGTTTCCATATTCTTGACCTTTCTGTTTTAAAAAACTGCTCCTAACCCTGTCGTTGATGCGTCAACTGTAAGATATTAAGGTATTTTTGGAAGCGAAGAGATGAAAATATGCAACGCCTTTCGCCGGGAATCGAAACGCGGACCTCTGGAGTACTGGCCCAGAGTGCAGAACCACTACACCACGAAGGCACGCTAGGAAAGCGGAAGAAATACTTATATACTCCCCTTTTTAAAGGCGACGGGGTTTTTTAGGGGACGCAAATCGCCCCTGGGTGTGGAGAATCCTCATTCAACACCCCTTTTTTTCGGGCGCCACGTGAGACTTAGGATATTTGGAAAGCAAGAGAGATTGAAAAAATAGCAATCGCCTTCGCCGGGAATCGAACCGCGGACCTCTGGAGTAACCGGCCAGCGTGCAAAACCACTACACACGAAAGCACGCTAGGAAAGCGGAAATACCTTATAAACGTAAGTGATAACGGTTTAGATGCGGAAGATACTGCAAATTTTTGCCGAAATAAATCTTTTGCATTTTTGGAACGCTTCGCGGATCTGCGTCCAGTTTAACACGTTTATCGTTTTTCTTGATTCCAACCAAAAGAATTTAGAGGTGCTTATGGTTGTTGCATGATAAAAACGTCGATAAAATTTAGCTAACAAGAAATCTTCCAAGTCGTTAGTCCTCACTTAGATGGTTCGGCTATCGCGGATGTGGTGACTCTCCTGAAGGGGTCCGAACGCCATCAGAGAAATTTCAGACCAGAAGCTACTCTTGTTGGCCAAAACCA